TAATCCCTTCGTCACATATTCTTTTGGTGTCGAATCAATGTACTAATTGGCATGGGCGACTTTTGCATGCCAAATTTAGCCTAGTTCTTTCGACATCTATAGTTCTGGACCTCATGTCGTGTCCCCATTCGTGGAATATTTCTGATTAATTTTATTGAAAGTTAGGATTGTAACCGTGACCCGGTTCCAATTTGAGTTTGAAACAACCATCTTCCGATGCATTCGCAGAACTGAAAGAGTGGAAACTAGAAAATAGAAATAGTTTAATATAATTGTGTTGTTGAACTGGAATTTATCACGGAATTCATTGGAGGTGTATCATTTCACTCGTATTATTAATACTGTCCATACTAGAACACAGTGGTCTTCACTTCACTCTGCTAGAAGTCGTCATTAATTAATAGTCGGTAGGATTTGAAGATGTCGGACGGTGTGGCCTTTTGGCGAATCCCTCACCCAGGCCGTATTTAAACATGATTTAGTAACAGCCGAACTGAAATTCTAAAAATGATGTCCTGATTCTGTAGTGTTATGCCAAGCATGGGAAAAGGTACTTTTGTTTTGTTTATATCTCCACTAATAGCCGCGTAATAAGTACTGGACCAGGCTTACTTTTTTTGTACATTAGTAGATCGTTTGAGTAACGACATTTTTGATGAAATATTATAATGGGATTCGTGATTGCCTCTTCCTTATTGGTCCTCATACTCCCTTTCAACGACCAGAAGAGTTGTGTAGGGAGTGGAAAGTCGGGCAGCTAATGTGAGTTAAATGCGCTAAGGGTATAGTTAGTTGTCAAGGCTCTGAAGCATCCAATCCAATATGAGATTTGTAGTTCTTCTTCGTCATGCAGATCACATCGACATTTCTCTGGCTTCTACTCAGCTATCAAAGGATGGTTATTAGTTCCACAATATGCTTTTTACAGACGGTTCGTGATTTGTGTCGCTTTCATTGTCGATGACTTCTCTATGGATCGCACGAAGATGAACGTCATTTTCAACCCTCCTGTTACGAGTCGTCATCGATCTCCACACTCAAACCGTGTCCTCTTTCTGCCTCATTAAGATTTATCACCCAGCACCCCGAGAATTCTGTGAAGTTGGAAGAGGACATTATGTTCGGACATGTTACATACCCATGCAAAATGCAGTATGACTGGAGGCTGCTGAGATGACTCAGAGGTCAACTCTTCAGCCGAAGACATAAATGACCCCATTTTTAAAACCAGAGGTCAAACAAACAAGTTGAATTCTACATTGTTGCATTGTTACTGGTGTAAAGTCACAATAACTAAATTGGTGGTTAATTTGATTTTCTTTTGACTAGACTGATCTACACCATCATTTGTCAAAAAATCACGCTAGACATCATCTGTCAAGACTCCTGACCTCCTCTTCTAATTACTGACTTGCTTGATTTTTAAACTGCTGTTGTTATTAATTTAGTCATTTCACCTGTCTATTCGTTTAAGGGTTTGAAGATTCTCAGTCAGTGGAATTGCTAGATTTCAGGAGTTAAAATGAGATGGTCGTGTATGTGGGTTAAATATGATGAGCCTGATATCTGGAACGATTTTGAACAAACTGCCTTGATCGAATGCTTATTATGTATTCCCTTTTTTCTATGTAAAAAGTGGAAAGATGTACATGTGCCATGTCAAGTCTATGGAGTGCTGTTATGCATTGGAGAGGCTATGAATGTTCAACCAGTTTCTGTTTATACCATTACTCAATCCACCAGATTTGACGTCAGTTGGAAGTCGTACCTTTCACTACAACTTTTTCTTCTTCAAAAGTCGAAAGGCTCTCCTTTTTTTCTAAAAGGAAAATTAACAACTGTCATCTCTACTTTTTCATAAATTGTTATTATAGTATAAGCATACGAAATTGGTTTCAAGTAAAAGTACAAGTAATTGTGCATTTGCCTCCGCAACCTGTAAAAGTCAACTGTGTGTGGAAACAGGCCGGGTTGCTGTGACACAAATTTATGCCTTTTTTCGCTTGTTGCTTCCGATGATTGGCATTGCTGCTAGCAGCTACGCCGCATTAACCCACTAGATCACAGCGGAGAATTAGTAGAACATTTTACACCGCCTCGGAATTGCTCTCCAAATGGCGCATGTGATAAAGCACCAGTGAAGTCGGAAACCTCCCCACTCTGTCATCGGTTGACATCATCACCGTCTCCTATCAACGCCTAGGGTGAAGTTTATTCAGCTGTTTGCCCACCCGCAATCCGACTGGCCAAATGGCTGGCTGGCTGACTGGCTGCAGATTTGCTCTCGGTAATTGCCGTCTCCTATTAATCAGGGCACTTGTGATTAACCCCAGTACGCGGACGCGCTCGCGTGAATCATGTGGGTTGTGAGGCGTGGAGACGGAGTCGGCAGCGTTAATAGTGTTGACGACTTGGGTAGACTTCACGCTGCACCAGTTACTCAACTTAAAACACGTTGCTCAGTTAAGCACTGCATGAATGCTTTAGAAAGTTTATCTCAGTGCAACAAATTCACCTCGATTTGATAAAGAGCTTTGATTTGTGGACTGACAAGAATAGTGGAGAGTAAACTGTCTGGGTAACGTGCAACTATTGAAGTATTGGGTGGTATTGAGTGTTCAAACTATTTAATTAATAACTTTATACGATTTCTTCACTGATAAAGGTTGCCACATCCATTGTTGGTTTGTGAAATTTGGTATCCCTTCAAATTGTCCTCGCATTGTCTAGTAGCGACTTTCTGATGTACAACGAAGTGGTTGTATGGAATGTCAATGTCCAAACTCGACGTCAATGTTTGTAAAAAAATGATAAAATTCAGCATTTATGTCCTTGTACCAAATTACCATCACTGTCGAGATTTTGTTTACATGCCCTCTCATCGCTCCAGCAAATGTCAAGTGAGGATGTGACGTTTTAAACCGCGTGAGCCATGCAGACGTGTTTACTCGCCCCATAGGTGTGTGGATTGCAAGTGAGTAACCAATTCAGTCTCCGGAAGCGTGTGGTTGCTTCGCCGCCCTTGGCAACGTCAACGGCCCGCGGCTTGATCCTCGTGCATGGGCATGTTGCTACTCACCTCAAAACCACTCCTGCTGATGTCTTCATATCTCTCGACGGTGGGTACACCTGGCACAAAGTGGGTTCCAGTTTAAATTTTCATTTTTTACACTTTACTCTTCTAACGTATCTTATCGATGGTCATGAAAACCCTGTTTGAAGAATTCTCGCAAGAGCAGCCGGAGTGAAGTACCGATCATCTTTTCATGTGTAACAATGCGCTACCGAATTGTGTAATTCTTCAATTCTTTTGCTGGAATTTAGTCCAATTTACTTTCACCCAGGACCTCTTGGTAGATGGTTGATGAATTTTAATTCGGCAAATAAATTAACTCACAAATCTTTGTTCTTCAATATGCCTCATTCCATATGCACGCCACATTATCAACACAAAGTTCTTAATCAGTTCGTAATGCGTGGAGAATGAGAAGAGTGAATAACTACCAAGGCGGTCACTTCCAAAATACCTCCTGCCTGGTTATCAGTGCTTATGTAACAATTGTTGGCTCTTCATGAATGACCTCCCTTAAAGAGTGGTATTAGTGAGGCAGTTATTTACACACCTCTCTTGCAGAGTTTCAACAAGAAATAATTGCTTTCGATGAATACTTTTGTCCTGCATGCTCTGGACACTTCTAGCAAACGTGTTTTGCAAACTAACTCATAATCATGCTTTGCATTTATTTAAGGCGTGAATATATTTTTTTTGTTCCATTTTTCTTGTTACCACCGCTTTTGCCAAGCGTCACAAAGGATTTTTGTGTTTGCAATGTTTGAGTCTGCTTTGAAATATGGTTTTTGACGGGCTAGCGTGAGCGTAACTAATTTTTTTCAAGCGTTCTGTATATTGCTTAAAGTGAAGGTTAGGCGAGCGTGGAAACGGAATAATTTAGGAGAGTTTGCTAAAGCAGAGTTGTCTTGTTGTGTTTCTCGCACCAGTTCACCCAATCGAAGGAGGACGGGAATTTTCCTTGGCCTTTTACAAACTGAAAAATTAAGTTCCCTAACTTTTCGGAAGGCAGCATTCTTTTTCTAATTAATGCCTACAATGCTGAAACAATTGTGTTATATCTTTGCATGGCTTAACTTGTGGCTTTAACAAATGCTCTCAAAGCTGCAGGTCTTGTTCAGCACTAACAGTGGTCAAAACTGTCTTTTATTTGGTTTGTGCTCCCCTGTGAATCCACTCGTACGTTTGTGAAAAGACCCATTAGTCGGCGAGTATCTCAGACAGGTTGATGACTGCGACCTTCCACCGATTTGCCTGGTCACATTCAAGGGTGTGACTCAGTGGCTTCTTTGTCACCTCACGCCTGCAAAAGATTTTTCTACTCTAAAAGGCGGAAACAGTAGGGAAATTATATTATCTAGGACAATTTTTGGCCGGACCTGCCCTGACTGCTGTTTTCCCCCGCATTTAAAAGTTTAAAGGTCATTTTCCTTCCCATCAATCAATTTTGTTTGTCTAAAGCTGTACCCCATCAGGGCACCTAATGTATTCAGGCTTATTTCGCATAAATTGTTGAGGATTACGTTTTTTATGGTCTCAGACTTGGTCCTGTGAGTTTCAGCCCGGGTCTAAAGCAAAAGAGGCTGCTGGAATCATTAATTTGTTTGAAATGTCAATTAGTGGGTGAACAGCTAAATTGCACTGCTTTTATAGGTTAACAATCCGCTATTGTTTCGGTGGAGGAAAGATTTTAGCTTAATGGGAATCGTTTTTGTTTGTGTTCAAAGCTAAGAGCCTCAGCCTCGTCTATCACGAATGCTGGAGTGATCTAATGAATGGGATGAGGACAGGGTAAAGTTGATTTAATGCCTTGGCAGTCTTAACAATAAAGTTAAAATGTTGTTTCTACGAGACTGAAGCGCTGGTCCTCCTACTATCTGATATCTACATATTTGCCCAGAAATTAAACTATTTTCTTCATCCTGGTGAATTTTTGCAGTTGCTCCGTCATGCACCGAATTTTATTTCGCCCTAAAGCGTTGATAAGTCTTTTCGCATAAAATAGGAGCACATAATATGATTTAGTCTTACAAAGTTCCACCAGATGTTTTATGATGATGTGCTCGTAATCGTTGGAACTAAAAGGTTTCAGCCTATCCTGGGCAGTGGGGCTATTTTTCGATTCAATAATTACTACCAGTTTATTTCCTTTATTTTTTGCTTCAAAGGCATTAACCATTCCTCCCAGCTAAAAATCCTGATGCGCGGACATTTAGTAGTTTTAGCATTTTCCATTGTTTTTTTCGTACTTCTTGTCAAACACACTCTGTACAATATGTACATACATGTAGCCAAAAGTGTTCGCAAGCAGACTTTCGTGTTTGCTGCATTGGCTCATCCTCTTGCGTAGTGGCTGTTTGAGGCAAGCGCGAAGCGTGTTTTTTAGCCCAACTCTAGGCTCAGAGCATTTTCGCTCTCGCTAACTAGATTGTTTCTAGCTGCTGGATACTTTTTATTTAAGGCTACAATCAGAACTAAAATTACCTGAAATTTACTTACAAATAAATTTGTGTCTTATAGGTAGGCTTGAAAATCATCCACCACAATTAGTATGTAGCACTGTCAGGATTGGTAAAAGTGCTCTTGTGTTTTGCTTCTAGGGGTTGGATGGACCGCATCACTACCAGATAGCAAATCGAGGTGGTCTCATAGTTGCTGTGCCTGCGGACACTCTTTGGGTGGATATTCTGCGATTCAGCACAGATGGAGGTCGGTGCTGGCACAATATTCCTCTCACACCCTCCATCAAGCACACTCCTGCTGCCACAGATGAGGAAGTCGACGAAGTACCTCCAACTCCACCGGCAGAGCAGTTGACCTCCTCCCCGGACGGGACCATGGTACAAGCCACACCCTCACCACTTCTGCCTATGGATGAGGAAACTGTTGTGCTTACCGGCCTCGTCACCGAGCCTGGCGGTCGTGCGATGACTGTTGCAGTCTATGGCTACGGTACAGTCAGTCAACGTTGGCGAGTGGCTGTTGTCGATTTCGCCAACAACGGCTTCATCACAAAGAATTGTAAGTTCACGACCTGTTTATTACCCTCACCCCGTTGTTGTAGTGCTATTTGTCTAGTTCTGCATCTGTGTGGTAGGGAGGCTCTGATTGTTTATCCTATCTGGTGCCACCACCTATTTTCGCCTGTGTCGCACATACAAGCGCGAGGGCTTCATCTCACTAGCGAAAAGACCATACGGTGCGATGAGGCTATGTGGACGCCAGAGCCCACAGGCTTTCGGGACAGGCGTGCGGTACACTTAAGGCAAACAGCCATTAGTTATGCTCCAAAACACGGAAATTCTCCCACCATGCTGGTGCGGCATGCCGGCTATGCCAATGACGCTAGGCAAGGTTTGCAAAATGTAACTCACTGTGTTCCACTGGCTAGATAAGTTTCCTTAGTTTTGATGGAAAATGGTTCTTTTGGTAGACAATCTCAAATGAAAAATGGCTGATCTGTATTCTGCCAACAACGAAAAAAACGGCTTTCATGGCATTCATTAATATGCAGCGAAGATGTGCCCATTTGAAGGGAAAAATAGTCGGAGTTTTTTCGGTGAACATCATTCGTGGGATTGTCCAAGCGCATGAACAAACGATACATGTTTTCGTCTCGACTAATATTTGGTCATTTGTTTGTTTATTTCGTTTTGGCGATTGAAGCTGACTTAAATGTGGAAATGTACATTCTGAGGCTTGTTAGTATTGGAAATGCGTTAAACAATTGGTAGTTCTCTGCTTTAGCTTTAAATTTTGGTTTTCTGTCCCTAAATTATATGCTACGTGATATCCAAAGGCAGAAGCTGTTCGCTATGGTCAAGGGTTTCTCCTACTACTGAACGTCTTCCCGTACATTTTGTCCTCTCCTCCAAGCCACAAACTTTTTAAACAGCCGTGTGGAAATGTTTTTAATGCTTGGATTGATGAGCTCACGGAGTCAGTGGAGGAACTGATCTGTTTTATTCACTTTGCTTAAATTTATCGACCTGAGTACCCTCTTTCAAAGGGACATTCAGGTTTTAACTTTCTGCCATTCATGCCTTAATCGCAACGATTTCTTAAGTCTGTCGACTCGCATAAGTAACATTGACCTAGGTGAACAATGAAGGGTCATTTTCCTTGTGAATGGGGTTTTTACATTTTTATGAATTTACTAGCTAATCTCCCAACGTCTGTAATTCAAACTCAGTTTATCTAAATCGTCGCACAGGGGAACGGCTTTTCAAGGCACTTCGCTTAAGTCTACAAAATAAATATGAAATTACCTACTGCCTATTTGAAGGTATTTGTTGATGACAGATAGACATTTTTTGACAAGCATGTTCAATTAAAAGTGCCTCTAATAAGTTAAACACCAGCGTTAATTAAAAACCCCCTCAAAGTTTTATGAAAACTTATTTGTAAGGAGCATATTATCAACATCTGCTTTTTAAGGCGGGCTTAAGCCGTCGAAATTCAAACAGGCTATGCCAATTGATAAATTATGGTAACCACTCCGTGAGAACATTCTTATTTCGTGTGGTCTTGTCCTCCACCCTGCCTATGAGCCTCATGACTGTTTATCCACAACATGTTTACATTTTTGTCAACCCGCATCGAGCAGGTACGTGCATTCATACCAATAGCCTGTCACCCGGTGTCATCTCGGGTCAGACATTTCAGGTGAAATGCACGTCCATAATGTCGGCCCTTTTTGCCCCACATCAAGGCACCGCCGAGGACTACGAGCCCTGGTATCCTCACCGCACCGACATGAGCCACAAAGACCCTAACGACGGCTGCTTGCTCGGTGTTCGGGAGACGTCCTATCGGCTGAAGGCGAATTCTCTGTAGGTTTAACTGCGATTACTTCCCTCCCGCTCACTTAATTCTTTCGCGTAGTTCTCCCAATCGTTACACATGAAGTCCTTCTAGGGTACTTGTTTTGTGTCTTCCTTAGGCCAGTTTATGCTATGCAAAACGAGGATTCTCGCCTTACAATGGGAAGGCTTTTGAGAATGCATCATTTCGACTGAGGCTGAAGACTGTACTGGGTTTCGAATATTAGTACAGCAAAACTAACAGCTCCAAAATGTTAAACCTTTAAAAGTGGATTTTGTTAGTATGCACCAGAGTCCATGCTTAAAGTAAGGAGTGCTCAGATGCTGCAATCAGCTTATTGGTTCATCCAAATGCATCTCTTCATGAAGTCTGAAAACTGTGCATTTATGCCTTTGAAGGTGCTTCTCTAACTCCGACTACCGACCCCTTCAATCCTATGAAGTTTGCCCCTGCACGGAACAGGACTACGAATGGTAAGGTAGCCCCATCTAATCTTTTCGTGCTAGTTAACCTTTCGACTGCACTCTCGCCTTAGTACTTACAACGTTTAGTAAGAGGATATGTTTTTGTATCTATAAACTTGCTTCATTTGTAATCAAGCATTGAATGAAATGTGAAATGAATTAAGGTACGGCTTGTCTCAAGTGCGCTCTACCGGTTCCTTTGTTCCAACGGCGAAGGACTTTGCAACAGTTTATCAAGAGCACTCAGCTGAGGGTCAAGAATTTTTTGTTACCTTGTGCCTGTTTGCCAAACATTTGGATTCAGTTGCTGACGCTGTCATTGGAACATTTTCCCTTCGGCTGAATTAACAATTTGCTATTGTGCCTTTTAAAGCTTACTTCGAGCTAACAGTTAAGTTGAAAGGTGTTTAGATTTTCTGACCAGTTCCACAAAAGTCGGCTGTTGTTTAGCCCGCCTTGTGTGACTCCCATGACTGCTTCCTAAACTCCCACATTTTGACACTTTTTACTTCGTTACTTGAAGGCATGATACAGGAAGTCGGAATTCATTTATCAACAACAATATATTTTGAGGATTCGATTTTATAACCGTTTTCACTAAGCTCCGACATACAGAATTGGGCAGCGCTTTTTGCCTCAATGATGGTGGTAGAATTCTTTATTTCTTATTATTAATTACTTTTATCAGCGCGTGTCATTGTATTAACTTTAGTAGGATATTTTCATCCCTACACTAGGATAATACTAACACTCGGCACTTATGAAGATACTGTTATGCCATCGAACCATATCCGTGAGTCTATTAGGTGGTTTTTCGTGCCTCATCCTGCGCAACTTGTTGCCATCTTGACAGGAAGACTTTGATATCTTTGGCAGACATCTATGCTTTGGTAAAGTGAATAGCCGCATTTCAGGAGGAGTTTGTGCGCTGGGATTTGTGCTTTAGGCATTGTAAGGAATTATCGTTTAGATTGACTAAATTTTAGCGAATACGGCTACTGGCGTGAACTGGACAGTGGTGGCAAATGTGTGGTGAATCCGCATGCACCGCCTCTTGACGTTTGCGATTTAGTGGGTCAGGAGGTGGTGCCACACCTTCTCGAAATGATCGGCTATCGTCTAATCCCAGGCGACCGTTGTCAGGGCGGTTGGCGGCCTCCACATTCCAATTTTACTTTTGAGGCACTTGTCAGCCATTGTCCTCCTAAATCCAAGTCCGTAAGTTGTACTTCTGACCTCGTAGTGTATTACTATAGATTCTTTAGCGAGTTGGAGTAGAGGTCAAAGTTAGACTTATCCTTTTAACATGAATTGTAATTTTTCGTTTTCGCTCTAATAATTTCAGTAGATGGTTATGAAGATTTGTTATTCAAGAGTAACATTTCCAGTCCGTTCTTAGTCTTGTTCTTCAAACTCCTTCTTCGAAGATCTGCTTCAATTTTCGTGGTCATTAATTGAACTTTGGTTCTGTGAACATGAAGTCCTGTCCTGGTTCCAAAATGCTGAAGAACTCTTCCAGGTTTCCATCATCAATTCAGTTTGCAAGCATTCTTTTGATGCCCCACGACATTCATTGATTGACGGCTGTGAAGCATTTTTGGAATACGAATGGCAAAATTCTTAAGTCCTTATTTTCCTCAGGTCAGCCTCTTGCTACAGTGATTTCATACTTTACCGGTCAATCACTCGAGTTCGGGGCGTGTCATTTGCATTTTTAAAGACATTGGCCTCCCTTGGCTTGACAAGTCTGTGCATCTGAGGGATAATCGGTGAACTTGTTGCCTGGTAGAAGTAGTGATCTTATCCGAAAGTGGATGAATCATTCACTCCGTTTCTCATCATTCCCTCTTTGACACTACTGATCTCCGCTCAAACAGTGGTTTGCATCGAGGCTTTGTCGCGGCTTTCAGAATCAAAAATGATGGCTTTAGAATTGTCTACCTGGCCAGAAACATGAATCCAAGAGTATCTTACTTGTAAGCGGTAACTTTAGTCGAATAATTCTCGTCGGAAGACAAAACCACTTATTTATTTAAACGATCTCAAATTAAACCTTTACTCAACTGTGATTAGCGTTTTCCAATTGGTGTTGGAAACCTTGAGCCTCTGAAATACTTGAATTGACGAATTAAAACTGAGATTTGTTCACATTTTTGTTATTCTTTGAGACTTTTGGGCGTCCTTCTTAATTTGATTTCACATCGGTCACTATTTGGCAGCAACGCAATTTTTTGCCGCTGCGAACTAACACTTTAAAAGTTGCTGACCAGTTTTGTTCACGCATGAGTTTATCATCAAGTACTTTAATTATCCTCCTTGGAGCTCTCGTCTTTCCTGTTTATGCTGATATAAACGATGACCAGACAGAACGCTTATTTTTTTATCCACGTCCATATAATGCATAAATATGAACGTATTAAAACTGTAATTGCTTACCTTTTACAGCCAAATTGCTGTCTTGACAGTTTAAGCACATGTTCTTCCCCATCTGGTAGAATTCGTCTGAATATAATATCAAAATATTTTGAACCTTACATTTAGTCTCTTGCTGGAGGACTTGTGCTTTTTTATAGCCCTGTGTATGATTCACGAAAGACTTTTGCCGTTCCCCACCCTCACAAGTAAGCAACTTTGAGGACATAACACATTGCCCTAAATGTTTACCATTATTTCTGTAGCAAAAAAACAATAAGCCTTAAGTTATTTAGAAGAGGAATCTTTAGTATGCACAATCTGTAATTTGTGTTTAGCATTCGTCTTAACAGCAAAAGTTTCCTTACTGATCTAGTACCTTATTTGTAAGCAGATTCCGCCCTCAAAAGTTGGACCGCATTTTCATGATAACTGTAAAAAATGTTTTTTCTTTCATTGCATAGTTTGGAACAGTAGGCAAGATTATGGTGACGATAGTTGCGTTGACGATCTTCTTTGCCTTTGTGGGAGGAGTTATCTGGTCGCGTCGCAGAGATGCTATCTTCTCTAACATGTCACTTCGGCATAGACGTTTCACAGAAATCTTTCGTCGTCGCCTTCAACGCTCCCACCTTGGTGTCAGCAATGATTTCAAGACGAATCCCCTTGTTTCCAACACCGTCTTTTATGCCAGTGGCGATCTTGGCTCTGCCAAGACAGTTGCATCTCCCTTGGGTACTTCTCGTCATTTGGTGCAACAGATTACGCACATTGGTATTGGAAAGCGGTCAGAAGATCAACTGGATTTGGTGGCAAATGAGGAGTTGTTTGTTGATGAGGATACTTTTCCTCCTGACTCGATGAATGATCATTCAACAAGAAGCGAACCAGGTGGGTTTTATTCTATCCTAAGCCCAAATGCGAGGCATCTGCCTATCAAAATCACTCACAATTGCCTTTTCTCTGTCCTCTTGCGCAGGTCGTATGGACGATTTGCTCTACTAGACGTATCTCACATATGCGTGATTGACGAAGCGATTTCCATCTGTCCTCCTAATCCTCTCCCTTGATTCAATATTGGCATCGTTTTTAAATACGAACTTTCCATACTCTCGTTATGAAATATACGTATTTTGTGTGGAACTTAAGTTTGCCCTTCTGATTTGTCTTTGGCTGAAACATCAATCCATGTGGTTTTGCTTCCTTTAAAAATCGGGTGGCATTAGTGACGCCTCACTTGTTGATCGTATGGCAGTCACGGCTGCAGACCTGCCTCTCAAATCTCATTCTTGGTTTGAAATTACAATCGAGTCATAAGCTAACCATGGAGCAGGAATCACTTTGGCTTATTTATTACTCTTGTTAAATAATTTATAAGCAATTCATGGATGATTATTTATTTCAGTAAAATAAAGGGCACTGGAGAATAATAAGGCGATGTCATTTACACCGCAGTTTGAGAAAATAAGTATGAACTTAGCTGAAAGTTTGCAAGATTTCTTGACGCAACACTTAGGCTGGTCTATAAGGGCAATTTCTCGCCAAAGTTTTGAGGATGGAATTGCACATTCTATCGTATTTCCACAAGATATACGATAGTTGCCGTCTCCCTTAAAGGCGACTTAAAGGAGGTCAAAACATGTTTCTGCGTTGTCAGTTCTTCATTGCTTTACTTAAGCTACTTCGTATTGTAGACCACTGTTTGAATTGGGTACCGTAAGGCAGACTGATTACAAACTTCGTTTAAGACGAGGAGTCGATAACCCAAAACTTCTTCCAATGTAAAGGGATAAAGCAGCTTATTTTTGAATACACATGTATCGAAAGAGGCCGTTCATCTACTGTATGCATTACAAGACGATGGGGCTTAGTGATAGGAAGACTATTTTCATTTCTTTCCTTTCATTTTGTACAAACAGTAAACTGACAGTTTTAGGATAAACGGGCATTAAGGCGCTACAGACCTTAGCTACTCTTAAAATGAGAGCTCTGACACTTAACCTTTGCTGGAATGAGCTGTGCCTGATATATTCCAGTGTCTAACAAGTACTTCAGCCAGACGACAATAAAATATATTATCTTTACCTTTATTCGATTTCAAAGCAGCTTCCATGTTATTATATTTGCAGCAGAGTTAAAATCAAAGTGCAAAGACTATTCAACTCATTTTAAGAATGGCAATTAAGTAGCAACACTGTTTCTACGAATTGGGGTGGCCTTTGGAGTATGCAGAAATGCCTACACAATTCCAGTGGACTTGAATGTATGCTATGCATCTCCTGTAATATGATGTCGAATATCTTTGGAAAGGTTAGGGTGCTACAACTACAAAAAGCGAGATTTTGTTTTACTGGATCTGAACACACTAAAATGGAAAGAGCCTAACCACAGTGATGTGGTAATAGATTTGGGTTCGCTAACTTAATGGACGAAAAATGAAGGTTTGCGAACAACCTGCTTACATTTAGCATGGAAAGTTTGGAGCAAGTAACGCATCAACGAATTTATTAGTGATTGTTCTGCAAAAAATAATTTAAAGCTAATATGACCTACCATGACTTACTTACGAAAACAAAATTAAAATTGCGCCTCTCGCATCTTCATTATAGACAAATACCTTAAAACTTTTCATTATTTTTGATAAATTTCTTTAAAGGCGTGCTATTGAAAATTGCGCGTTCCGTGTTTATCCAGGCTAACCTTGACCTAAATCAGGCAAGCATTCGTACACGAGATGGTGAGTTGGCGTTGCGCTCTCATGTCTTGGTTTCGTTTCTGTTGTTAATTCCATTCCCTGGTTGTTTGCCAGGTTTTTATTTACTTAATAAATAGATTCGGTGCCTTTACTTTTATCTCTGATGGGCATCCGTTATTTATGAGGTTTGGCTTTTCTCAATGTTTGGTAACTAACATTGGCTGTAGTTGTGGGCTGTTAGCTCGTTTTGCGTAGGATTTCTAATGGTACTTTTAACGTTGGTAATCCATATCCGTACCTCACGTGTCTTCTGGTTTCTGAAACTCGCTCAAGGCGAACGGTAGTGGGAGTAAATCTGGATCTAGCTCAGGAGCTGCAGCTAGAGGAAGTGCTGGCGTTCGCCAAAGAAGGGTGAGCTACTCCTTCCGCCCCACTTTACATGTTCCAACCTTCCGTAACCAAGTTTTTTTTTTTGCCGTAGTCGACTGCAACGCCTGCAAGGCGTCCCCTCGCTACCACTGCTCCGAAGAGCCCGGTCTTTCTGTTTTACTCAGAGGACTCTCCCGGCATTAAAATTGGACCAGTTCCTGTCTTAGTCATGTGTCTCTGTTTCATTGTATCCGTCTTTCTGCTCCACTTCTGGGGGAAATATACTCGTAGCGCGTAAATTAGCGGCCCTCCCTGGTGTATAAAATCCTCTCCCTATACCAATTTCCCTTTTCCATAATTCTTCAATGCTACATGTAATGTTTGAGCTTTCCCGTGTATTTGGTACTCCTTATAAAATACACAGGTCCTTAAAAAGTACTTGTATCGGGATGAAAATCAACGTACAGGTGTTACAATTTTGCAAAAGGAGGGCGAAGGTTTAGCTGCTGGGCTTCTTCCGCAGCTGAAAGTACCTGACGAATCTGTTTCTCAGAACCAGGAGAAAGCTACGGAAGTCTCCAACTTTGTTAAAGTGTTCAACGAGCTTTCGAATATCAGCAATGGGGGGATTGCACTTGACCAGCTCCATCGGAGTCGAATCGGAGCTAAGTCGTAGGATCACGTAGCTCAGTGTATCATAATCATCTTCGCAGCAGCCACGCATGACGACTTGGATGTTGTCATGGTTCTTTGTACGCCTTATTTCAAGACCAAATGTCCTCTCGTAGAGGGAAACGCGATCCTGCAGACGGTGTATCTCAGAGTCGATTCCGTTAGTGTTGCTGACAGCATCTGCATCCTGGTCGGATAGACTCTGTAATTGCTCCTTAAGCGTATTCTAGTGGATAAGATTGCAAAAGTAGAACACGCAAGTCGAACGAATTTGCAATCGCTTCTCGCATTTCATTTGAGAAATGTTTTATCTTACCCTCCAGTCGCGGAGTCGTCGAAGTTCCGTTTCCTGGAATTCGACCTCCTTAAGCTGTTTCTGATGACGCGCATAGCGTCGCTCAAATGAGACTTCCTTTTCATGCAAACTTTCCTTCATAGTAGCTAATCGCGCCATCCATTCCTTCCCATTTTCACTAGAAGTAACGTCACTCTCCTGCTGCTGTTGTTCCAAGGCTATGAGTCGCTGAAACCGACGTAAAACCACCTCTGGACCGTCCGGAATAGCATTAAATAGTGACGTCGTCGTGACTAGCGACTCGTCTACCATGACCTGCAGAAAAAGTATTATCATGTGATGGACGCATGGCGAAAGCAACCAAAACCCAAGAGCGATCATGCAGCCAACACCACGACTGTGCCAACTTAACTCTAGGCAGCAAGAAACAAGCGCCCTCTTGCCTTCGGAACTCGCACCTTTGGTCATGGTGATAAGGCGTCGTTTTACGGTAGCTAAATTACTGAACGGCTAATAAGTGAACCAAGTTAATTTGAAGATATTCGTAATTATCTGAACCTGACGAAAGGTGATCAAATGTTTGCACGGATTTACATGTCTACGAATGCGGGGAGACTACGCAACATAGCATCGCGTTCGATGTGACTTACCTTGATCAGCGCTAAAGCTAGTCCATTGGACGAAGTCCTCATTTCATTGGTCGGTTTTAGCGTTTATCAGAATGGTATTATCGAGTCGTATTTAGCAGAGCTAGAGGCATAGTCCTTGCATCTTTTAGAGAAAAGTAAACGGTGATTTTTTGTTGTAATGTAAATGACAGTAAGCAATCTCATATCGATTTGCAAATATTGGTTAGGTGGATTGAAAATTCATTACCCTTATCACAAGATGCTGTACAATTCGTCTACTTATTAAATCTAGTCCGAATCATGCCATCATTTCTACTTTTTGGAAACGTAAAATAGCCCCGTTTTTCATGATAACATTTTTTTGACTCAGACTCTATGTTTGGCACTAAAAAGTTCAGATTATTAAACGTGGTCCTGCGGCATACATTCCAAAACAATTCTCTGCGACTGTAATAGGTTCTATTTGTCCTTTGTCAAGACATCCTTGAGGGGGTATGAAAGCGCTATACCCGCTGAAATTTCATAACTCTCCTCAAATAGAAGAAAAAGTTCCATTAATTCGGCCCAGAGGCGATCTCGCACAGCCGAGGCATGATGTTCTACCAGAGAAATTGATCGAGTGTTCAAAAGAAAGCGGCAGGTGTATGGTGGCATTATCATTGTATCCATTCTGTGATTCAGTTAGACTTGCAATTCATCTATCACCGGACCTGTTATTTTACAGTTGAGATGTGAAGTTTGGACTCCTAGCCTTGAATGATCAACATTACTTGGAAGGCACAAGCAATTGAAAGTCCCGTACATTTGAGGAACTTTGGTTTATGCATGCGGGAATTCCCAAGACAAGGTTTTCTTCTATTATTAAGATATCAGTTCCTAACTTCACACTAGATTCAAGTGGGCGAGGGTCCCGAAATTGGAATTGACAGTTTGATAAACACCACCTGTAACCATAACTTATGCTTTCTAGTTATTCTTTTGAGTAGGAGTTTTTTACTATCGATTTTAGCAAAGTTCCGTTAGCTCAACTGCAATTATCCTCAATCGTTAGAATTAAGTTTAATGTGTGATTGATGGGAGACCTTCCAAGGACCAATTAATTTGCAATATTAATTGAATTGGCTGCTATAAATGTAAAGAATTCCAGACGTGTGGATCAATAACTCTCACCAGAGCTCCCAGCTATGTCACGTCTGTGTTCACGAGCTGCATATGTAAAGTATTTTGAAGCATTAGTTCGAGCTACAAGAAGACAATCGAGGGGAGCTTCAGGTGCTGGTAGAGATAATGGAAGGGCGGATAAAATCCCAAATTTATATGCTCTGCGAAACAAAATCATTTCCTTATATTAAAATAATTATTTTTTTAGTACTGCTTTATTGCACCTTTTAATGTGTAGGGCTTGGACCCGTTGGTCGCACTTGGTTAATCAAATGTTTCGTTGAGTTTTTTCACCGACCTGCACCTAGAGGTGAAAGTTGCCACACTTCTTCAAGCAATAGCCTAATATTTCAACCTAAAGATCAAAAATTAGGCACAAATACCAGAGCCAAGCGACATACTATCAATAATGCGACTGAACAGGCGTGCACCACAGGGCTGTGTTTCCCCGTTTGAACACGTTTACGATAATTTTTACGCAAATATACCACTATGACCGCACACCTTTAAAGTGCTAGAAGTAGATAAATTTTGCCGCATTGATATGCCATTCGAACAACTGCCGTCGCCCTGGACAGTCTAGGTAAGCCTACCCTCATCTCACCTTGCCGTTTCCCTGAATTCTGCAACAAAAATTGATTGTTCTTATCACACTGGTTCGCCCTGGCTAAGATTTGAATAAAAATTTCGAGAAAACAATGCTAGTATAAAATCACGTGTTAAGACGAAATTTCCACCGTAAATCTAGCCTTGCATCAAACACCCAGTTATTTATTTTCTAGACAAGTAAACAATCTGTCATTTTTTTCAAGTTACTCCGAAATTGGACTACTTGTCAGATGCTAAAAGACAACGAGGATGTAATTCATAAACTCAGCTACTATTTAGCGCCACACCACACAGTCACTCATTTCAACAATAAAAAGACTGGAAATGAATAGAGTAAATAATTTTCCGCTGAACCACACTGACGCGGAACTTCGGTACAAAATATGATGGCACAATTTTTTCCCAAAATTGCTCACTTTCTGGATTGAATACTACGGTCGCTTCTTTAAATGCTACGAATTCTAAACTGGATGTTAACACGAAATTACGAATTCTCCAAACACCCAACCGATTTAAAGCTTAACTACCGAACTCAACAAGCAAGTGAAGAAGTTGAGTACGGCGTTCAAAGTTTGGCACACTGTCTGCTCCCTTGGATGAACAACAAAAGTTTACCCACAGGGTTGAGCACATTCCGCTCTTTTGATATTCTCGTCGGTACATCGAGTCATGAGGATCAGATGATGCACAGAAAGACTAAAATGCTTGTCATAGTCACGGTTATTTATCGAAATGATCCAGCGCACACACAGTAGTAAAGCGAATCTCCTATAGACAGCCTTGTGGGTAAACAAGGATTACAAACCCACCGCAACCGTGATAAAAGAACTTTTGTCGAGTCTCTATTTCGCAGACAAAATGTACCTGTATAGGTTTAGACAGTGTAACTATCGTTTCCAGGATTATGAAGTTTACCCCATTAGCCTTACCTAATTCTTAGAAAAAACTTTAACAATAGTTACTTTTACCGTTTAGCACGTATAACTTTTCTCCTGTGGTATTCTGTTTCTTATCTATGCTAAGCTCTTCCAATGACTATTGGGGTATGGGAAGGTGAGCTCGGTAGTCGAAGCGTTCAAACAATAGCAAGGTGGCTCCTGCTCGGGAATTGCTTCCCAAATCCGACGCATTGGTTATCCAACTGCAGCAATTTTCCTATCAATATAAATGAAGGTAGAAGTAGTGAGCATCCATAGCTGTGCGGACTACATTCTCAGCTTAATGCAATGGAATGTGCTATCTGCTGCCTTCTGTTTAGATCAAAAATTAATTAATCTTGCATTAAGATTTCCCTCAAGTTGGAAATAAGTGTAACAATCAAAGCCATTTGATTTCGGATAAATGAATGAGTTTTCCAAACCCCTCGAGCATTGCCATACACGTGCACAAAAACCGTAAAATGCATCCTCTTAGGGACTAGCCTACAAGTAAGTGTCAATAGCATGGCCTCTGGATTGGAAGTTGATGTGCTCGACAAAATGACGTTCGGATGGCTTCGTGGTCATCAACTTACCTTCTGACGCTTCTCTTTACCATCGTAATACAGTGATTTAACGTCTTCTTGAGCCACAGTTGTGCCGACCTCCATGGATGACGAGAGCCCAGGTGAGCACATTTTGTGCTCTTAACTGTTGAAAATATACAAAATAAACGCATACACTGCTGACAGCCTTTTTTTCCAATTTTCACTCCGGTAGTCAGTGATGATACGGGGTCGGTATGATTTTGCACACGGAGGCTGAAAAATAATTCAGCCTTGAGTGATGAATTTTATGGTTAAGAGTGCAACATACTTTTGCAAAGTGTTCATTGCCAAAAACTCAGGTGCAGTTGGCACGATAGTTCATTGAAACCCTTTACTAGCAAATGTGGCACGGGTAGATACTTGAGGTGCCATTCAAGTTCTTTACTTCAAATTGAAGCAAATGCTAAGGCACTTTGGTTAACTGGTTTAAAAAGTCCTTAAAACAAGGAGGAGAGCAGAAGGTGTCTGCGACAGGACTGACCAGGATGACAGTACTACCAAGGGAAAACGTTCCTTACCTTCACAAATCACTTGGTTCAAGTTATTAAAAATAACAAAATTATAAAATCTGATTAGCTTGGCCAATAACATGCACGAATTGTTCTGACTTACATACAACTTGACTTTGGATGCTACTGGAGGCCTCAAGCTCTACTTTCACGGAGTCGTCTTTTAAAGTCGCAGAATGGTTTAGAACAGTTTTGAATTGTTACAGTTTAACCAATACGTTTAACATTTCTCCTTGCATCTTAATGTCATGATACAAAGTCCAACGTAGGTCAGCCTCTGGAACTTCTTGGCCAAATTCTTACTTCCACAGTGCGTTTTGACGTTGATGTACTTTAACCGTACCTCCACTTAAAAGAAATTAACGCCTCTGACCCACTTTTAAAAGACATTTCAAATGATCAATACAGTACATTAGCATTTAGAAATTGAGGTTTAAAATATATGCATAACATTAAGTGTTTCACCAGCTTCGGCAGTATTTAGGAGTACTAAAGATTGGGAATATCTCCAACGATCAATTAAAACGATATGAAAGAGTGTATATGATAGCTTATGAAGGAACAAATGGTAATTTCTCCGTGTAGGATCGAGGGCATCCAGACTACAGTAACCATGCCTTAACTTGATGGAAATTCGGCTCATCTGGGCAAGTTCAAATGCATTAAAGGTTGCACCTACAGAACTTCGCAATACTCTGTTCTAAATCTTGCTCAAGAAATATGATTTTGAGCACTTGAGCGGAGTGAATGCCTCGATCTCCTTTCGCAAGTTTCAAGAGCCCTATTCAGCAGAAGTGAGTGTGCCATTCGATGTAAAATCGTCTGTCTCATGGTGCGCCTTGGGTAAGTTTAGCAATTGTCTGTATCCAAAAGCGGCTC